CACCTTCATGGTCATGATTTCTATTGTGTTTTCTTCATGAATTATTAATGAGTTTTCTAACACTTGATAATGACGTCCAGTTAACGTCGAAACGTCGTGTTATATTATGTTTTTTAGTAAAGTTTTATCGCTGAATTTTATCTTAAAATGTTACAAAAAATTAAAATACGTTTAAAATGTTTAAATGTTTCTTTTACTTAACGATCTTGTGGTTGTCCATATGAAGAGTTTTACGTTTTTGCCATAGAGTATTTTTACCGCAATGAAAGTAATAAAATAGATAAGCTTACCTTGTTAGCAGCAAAACAGAAAATTAGCTGGACATAAGATATACGTCGTTCCTGAGCTTGATTACTCAACTATTGAATCATTTATTTTTTTGCCAGGCCCTATAAACAATGACGAAACCAAACTGGTGTTAGCTAAACTGATAATTCATTCATTGAAATATTTTCATTTACAACCAGGACTTCTAAAACGAAAAGCATAAAAATTAAGCATTCATTTCTTCTTACCAGCTTTCATGATGATGCGGTTTTGTCCTGAAAAAAGTCCGAGTCCTACGCAGATAAGAAACTTGACATTACAGGGCAGAAAAGCTTCTGCAAGCGATAAATATTCTGCACGAAAATTTCGGTGATAGAAATCATCGAGGAAGAGCCAAGAGAGTTTTAAATAAATGAATCCCCCACCGTAGGGATCATTTTGATCAAGTCTTTTGTGGAGTTCGAGGTTTAAAAGACGATGAAATCGTGGTTTGCATCGGGTGGTGGTGATGAGTATTCCTTCACTGAAACGTTGCATCAAAATGCAAGAATATTATGTTGAATATGAATAAAACTGCTCGTCTCAGACGAGCGCTATTATCATGTCAGTAAATTGTAAAGATATCTAAAATTGACCCCTTCCTGGTGGGGCAAACGCTTTTTATGTTAAAACTAATTTGTGTTTTTTTTTTTCGAATGACTGAATAAGTATAAGTAGTGCAGCTAGGTCACTTTTCCGATATAMATCTGGAATTCCCTTAACGAACGATGCACTGTCTTTTAATATTCAACATTTTCTTGAGACATTATGAAGCTTTGTCTCAAAATTAAGATCACGTGATTTCCTTGTAGTTTGACGTCAAATCGAATTGGGGGTTACCCGGAAATTGTTGTTGTGAACTGAATTTCCAAGGAATGGTTTTATTTTATAGATGAATATTTAATTTTGGGAAGTCTCGGCTTGGTATTTTCTTTTGAGTTTCGAAGCTAAAGAGTTGAATTTTAGTTYTGCGGTATAATTCAGTCTTTAGGCTTTAGGTAAGTCGATCTTTACATAGTGACAAAGGAGCTCAAAGTGTGTTTCATGATGAAGGAAAACATGGTAAGCTCTTGAAGCGACACTGAAGATTCGATTCTTCACTAGCAAAAGGTAAGCTAACCGAATTTTCAAAATGTGAACTGTCATGATCCTAGAAGAATTTACTGGAAGAATATACGATAGTTGTAGGCGAAAATCATACCGTCTAAACCGGCCTTAAGAGAATAACTCGTTTCTACGCTTCGCGTATTCACGAGTTAAAAACGTTCGTGCATGCGTGCATTTCAGCACGTTTTCTAAGAACAGAAGACTTTGAYTGAGAAAATACATGTTCGTTTTCTCCGAGTATACAAAACAAAATTCGCGATTATACTTGTGTGAGACCATGGCAAGATAAATACAGTTTTAACAGAAGACTTTGATTGAGAAAATACATGTTCGTTTTCTCCGAGTATACAAAACAAAATTCGCTTGTGTGAGACCATGGCAAGATAAATACAGTTTTAATAAAGACAATATGAAAGAATTATCCTTAAGTTTCAAGCAGCGCATGGACAATAAGTTTTGGCATTTTGTGAAGTCCATTTATCAGGCTAACCTGGGTATCATCAGTCATGTTTGAGTTCAAAATGACATATTTTTACGATAGCATTGAGACGCTTGGACGAATTTGCATACGCACTTAGAGCATACGCAGACCACGTTTTTTATTCGTATCAACAGGCAAACTCGTACCCAGAGCCTGCTTTTTTTCGGCCTGCGGCGAAGAACGATGGCTCTGGTATAATCCATTTTTTGAGGCCAGGATTTCTTAGGCTTCCGGTATAACAGCGCATGCGTTCAAAGACTTGCCAAAAATAATATAATATAATAAAATAAAATAAATAAAAAATAAACTGTTTCGATTTTTAATTCTTATTTTGATCGAAAGTAAACACAGAACTGATTTAAAGCATGATTTTCATTGCTTATATTTCACTTCCGGAAAACTGCGCATGCTCCGAAAAGTGAGTTATGCCAGAGCCATCGTTCTTTGCCGCAGGCCAGAAGAAACGCAGGCCCAGGATACGAGATTGATCAACAAGCAGCGGATTCAGACTAAATAAACGCACTCTTAGTGAAAGCACTTTGGCATTCGATGAATACCACAGCAGACTCGGTAGTACATTGTTAGCCTCGTTTGAGAGTTCATCATTTTCATTAGTCAATTTTAATATAAAGAATGTGCAAGCTGAATAGTACTAAAGTTTTGAAACTCCAACGGACTTTAAATGGTAGCTGTGAATAGCTCACTTAAAAACCAGGCTAAAAAATGTAATGAAAGTTGTCTTCAAAAACAGCGATATGCATGGAATGCGAAAATGCTGCATTGATAAATGGAAAATATTAATCTATAGAGTACTATGGCAATGTGTCACCCCAAACAAAGTGAATCATTGGTCGATAATGCGGAAGGAGAATACTGGGGCAGGATACAGGGAGAATCCCGCGACAGATCACGAGGTGGATCGCGTGACAGACCACAGAGAGGATTCCGCGACAGCGGACCACAAGGTGGCTCGCGTGACTGGCCACAAATAGGATCCCGCGACAGACCACATGGACGAGCCCACGACAGACCACAGGAAGGAGCCCGCGACAGAAAACAGGAAGGATCCCGCAATAGACCACATTGTGCATCGCGTGACTGGCCAAAGGGAGGATTCCGCGACAGCGGACCACAAGGTGGCTCGCGTGACAGGCCACAAAAAGAATCCCGCGACAGAACACAGGGTGGAGAACACAGACGACTTGATGACAGATTCCGAAGAGAATCAAGCAATGAAGCGCAAGAAGGATCAAAGAAAAGAGGAAAAGAAGRATTATGGGGCAGATCAAAGTCGAGCTCAATAAATGACTCTAGAAAAAATGGAAATGTCAGCAACAACCGACGACCTGTCAAATTTGGACTCGGAAGTTTGAAGACGATATTGGAAAAATCTCCTGATGAAATGGTACTTGACATGACAAGCGAGCGATGCTTACCAGCTACTGACGCTCTACTAAAGCAAAGAGATTTTATGAATGATGAGTTAATTGTCGTACTTCTAAAGGTCCTTGCTCGTGCATGTGACTGTGAGACTGCGAATGTGCGTCTGACAAAACTGCTGAGCCTATTACCAACGTCGATATATTTTACCAATCATTTATCACGTTATATAATGCGTTTRGCTAGCTTCGATCATCTGGAGAATAAAGAACATGAAAACGAACTTAAATACATGATCACGATCTTTTCTGAGCTTATCAAAAAGCAGCCGARTTGCTACCCACACCTACCACTACCACAGCTCAGCTACACTACTAAACAATTGATAGACAAAGGCGTATTATGCAACCAAGGTATTGAAACAGCTGTGGAAGAACTGATGGCTTTAAAGGACGAAATGGCTGAAAAGGTGAAGAAAGAAGTGGAAGAAATGGGTAGAAACCCAAGAAAACAGAGACGAATAAATGAAGGTAAAAATATATATCTAATTAAGTTGCTCGGTTTTTATCTTGATTGGTAATGACAATGATTTTGTTTTGGTTATCAAACTGAAAGTAGAGCATGTTGTCGGACGGAAGATTTTTGTTGCGACATTATAAGGAATATCTGGTCCCCCACATGGCACCGTCTTTTGCATGATAAACCCCGCCCCCTATCAGTGGTTGCTTCTCTCTCATCTTTGTGTGATACCCCGTCCCCTTTTTATATTAATAATACCTGTCAATATATACAGATGGTACCCATCCAGTTGTCTAGAAAACATGTGATCCACCCTACCTTCTCCGAGTCCCCTCTCCAGACGATAAACTAGTAATGAGCGGTTCCTTAAAAAATCTTATATAAAGACTTGAGTTGCCCTTTTGCTACTCAAATATGGATTAACGAAATCTAAGGTTTTGACCAATATACTTTTTTTTGTTTTTCCAAGCGGCTCTTCGCGATAGCGAGGCTCCACCTGACGATTTTCGTCAATTAAGTGTCACACCCACAATCCAAGATCTTCACACTCAAGGACCCGTATTTCTCAGAAGAAACAAGATAGAGGGCAAGTACAATGATCCTGAACACTATCTAGATGTCCAGTTCCGACTACTACGAGAAGATTTCGTTCGCCCACTTCGCGAAGGTATTCAACAGCTATTAGAAAAAGTGGAATMAGGAAATTTGAAGTTCTTACAAGTAAGTCACAGGCGCTAGGAAGGGAGGCATGGATAGCTGAAAGTAGGGATAGATAGCGCTCACTCATAAGTTATTTATAACTGTCGAATGGGTGAATGGTTTGTTGGTTAGTTGCTGAGCTTGTTGGTCCTTTTGCTATCAGGGGRAAATTTTACTGCGTAGTTATTCGCATTTTTTCTTTTTTTAGTTTATTTTATTTTGTTTTGCTTTCGTAACTAATCAATTACGAGAGAATTCTTTTCATATTCAAGCAGTGAGCCCCAAAAACCATTTYCTYGAAGAAAGGCTGTTGTACAAGGCTAAAATCTTGTTATTCAGAAAGTTTAACTTGTTTGGAAGTGGAGATGACCGATGAAAGTGGAATCAAAGTGTTAACCCAAAGCAAAAATTTTTTCGAAAATGAGGTTTAGGCCTTCATTTGCTTATTTCCCATATATTTTCTATAGGAAAAGCCTGACAAAGCAACATTCTAACACAAATGCAACAAAACATCTTTGTACAATTGAAAAACACCGCTTCAAACAGGCATTTTATCATAGTTTATCAGTTTCTAACTGTTTAAAAAAGGTTTTGAGTGCTAACCCAAAACGAAAATTGGGGTCAAAACTCATACAAAAGTCTAGTTTTTGGTGCTTTTTGCCATTATTGCTCATTATTGAAAAAAATTTCAYCTTAATGCATTTTTATGTTGTATTTTATTCATTTCTAATAGTACTCAATCTTTTTTAGGATGTACGGGTGTACACTGATGTAAGGGTTCTCTATCCTATTTTCACAAACAAAGGCTTGACTCATATGATCAGCTTTGATGTGTCCAAGTTGAAGCGTATCAGATGGGAGAACAGTAARAGGCTGATCTATGGCTCACTACTTTGTCTCTCCAAAGATAATTTTGAGACATTTTTACTCGCCCTAGTGGAAAAACGAGATGATGAAAAACTAAAGCAGGTTAGCATTTAACAGTATTTTATTATGTCTTATAGAATTAGAATTAGGCAATATATTGTGAGCCAATAACATAATTTGCTATATTTAAAGGGTGGATTGACTTACTATTCAGTATATTTTAGATCTCCATCTCTTATTTCGTAGTATTTGCTCTTTTCTATACGATACACCTCCTGAATCAAACGACTTTGTTTGAAATTTGCATATTCGAAACGATAGGATACTTGTATCAGTGTTTCAGACGCCTTCCTTGGTGATGCGCATGCGTATCCCCCATTCCAAGACGGGAGCCGATAATAACCTGAAATAATTATAAGTTGACAAATTAGACTGCTTTTGTATCAGGGATGGCTGGAAGTGCGATTTACAGACGTTTCAGAAGTGACTGACCT